TTCTCAACAGAGGGTGGTTGCCACCACTGAGGAGCCGACCCAGTTGTCAGCCTATTTAATCTACTATGAGATAATCAACGGCACACAGCGGCAACGTTGAAAGCAGACAAGTGGAACGAACGAATTTCTGACAGCTTCGTGAGGTACTATCTAATTTTCATATTCACTCCCATAAATAGAACGAATGATCAGTTGAATTCGAGGAGGAGTCAGCTGGGTCCCAGGAAAAAAAAGCACCTTCACATTCTTCTCCTCACCGAGGATAACTTCCAAGAATGGAACGGGAGGAGCTCAAAAGTGAGTCTTCTTATTCCATCAAATGTCAACTCGTTTCCCCAAAGAAATCTTATATTACATCGAAAATAGCTGCGAGATGGAATATTCACTAGGTGGACCTCGACAAGTCAAGCAACTGACTAGGTCTTCCCTCCAAGACCTTACAGAATACAGAATATCAGACATACCTTTCTAAGCGTATACAGCATGACGAATGGAAAACTTCCCTGACACCGAGGCTTACTTATATGCCGTGATTTCAGCATGAGACCACCCACTGAGAGGCAAGAATAGATTAACGACGTTCGAGATAGTATCAGTAGTAAAGTGCGTCAATCGGTTACTGTAGCGGGAATGAGTCATTGCACTGAACAGGTGCGCTTGCCAAGTAGATGATAGCAATCATGAGGACATTAAGGTGAACAATGTTTTCATTTTTAACTCGGCCAATATAGATAAGAAACGAAACTCTCTCCACAGCAATAGTCGCAGAAACCTCGAGCGGAAGGAAATTAGGGACTGGAGCCACTTAAACTAAAAATTCGAATCTTTCAGCTCTTAAAAACATTTGATATTTCGCTTTATTACAGCAAACACGAATATAATTTTTCTCCCTTCTAGCGAAATAGCGTTTGATTTTCTTTGAGCAAAAATGCCCAAAACGATTCGTATCAGAAAAAAATTGGGTTCCTATCTTGCTACGACTTTTCCATGGAAATATTGAAACTAATCCCGTTAAAAAGGGGCGGAGGTGGTGCAGTGGCAAGTGGCGCATTACCTCACACGCACGGNNNTTTATGGAAGTTTCTGGCCTCCTTTTACGACCATTCGATGGGAAAATCACACCCTATGCCAAAGTCCCTCTGCAACTGGTCAGACAGCACTTTCTCATGCA